CGCATCAGACTCCCTGTGAGGAGCCTGCTCCTCCCTCTGCCTATGTCTCTACCTCTCTCTCTCTCTCAGTCTGTGTCTATCATGAATAAATAAATAAATCTTTAAAAAAATTTTTTTTCTTCTGTTCAAAATAAGGAAATTCTTCAACAGTCTGGTAATTCTTAGTTGTATATTCAGAGTTAAAAAATAAAACAGCAATCATGCATTAGCAGCACCTATCAACCACTGAGACTACCAGGGGGATAAACCAGCACGACTTGAGTATGAAGGACTTAGGGTCCTATGAAATTAAAATGTACATTATTTTTATATTAGGCTAGTATATTCAGGAAGGAATTCTCCAACCTTCAATCTGATGGCATATGAAATTTTAATGGCAATGAGTTCTCAGTGTTCTGAGAAGTAAATAGGAAGAGGACACTGGGAGTTCCTCTTTGCACACAACCTGGTGCCTGCCTTTCCAGGGTTCTACAGGACAAACTGGCTTGCTCTTACAGGTCTTCCCCATGATGGAAGTTAGGGCTCAGTTTTTCCACTCTGCTAAGTTGGTCACCATTTGTTCAACTACATTTCTTCTTTCAATTTTTACTGCCTCTTGTCTGTTATTCTCTCCTCTCACATTTTGTCTTTTGGAGTTTATATATTTTTATGTCTTTACTATCACTTTAGTAGAGTTTTTCAGGAAGAAGAATAAACCATGTGTATTCAACTGACCATGTGATTTAAACATAAATTATAAACATATTTACAAATTTTGGTACAAATGACCATATTGTCCTTGATCTGTGCTAATGTACACTCCTCTACAGTAGTGTGTATGCTCTGTCATTACTGAGTATTACTACTCTTCACATCTTTGCTGACCTAAGGGATTTTTTTAAAAGTGGTACTTTATGGTTGAAATGAACAATTCTTAGAGTATTGATGAATATTAAATATTAACATGTTTTCATCAGTTTACTAGCTATTTTGAAGTTGAAATAAATTTCTGAAGCATGTCTGTATAAGCTCTTTGCTTCTTTTGTATCAGAGGGTTAGATTTTTTCATTACTTTATTAAAGTGATATTTAAAGATGTTAATTCTGTGAGGAAAAATTTTTCCACCTTGATATTTGCCTTTTCACTGTGATAGTCTTAAGTTTTACATTTTACTAAGTCAAATATGTCAATTTTCCTTCAGTTTTCCATGCTTAGAAAGTCCTTACTTACAAATATTTACCAACATACTTTCTCATTATTTTGTTTTCAATTTTTTTGTATTGATAAATAATCCAATTAGAATTTATTTTTTCCATGTGTAATAAAGCAAGAATCTAGTCCTCCCAAAAAATAATCAATTGTCCTAGCATCATTTATTAAATAGTTCTTTATTTTGCCACTGGTCTGTGATGTGACCTTTATCATTTGTATAATCCATATACATTCTGAGGTTTCTAGGGTAACAAGATGATCTGTGTATTCTGTACATGAGACTTACCTACATTTTTCTATTAGTGTCATTTTGTATATCTAAATGTACAGGCTTAGATATTTTATTTTATTATTTCTTTCTGTATATTTAGTGCAACGTGAGGGGTAAAGGGAGAGAGACAAAGGGCTCTATCCCATGACCCTGGGATCACAACCTGAGCCAAAGGCAAGATGCTTAACTGACTGAGCCATCCAGGTGCCCCAAATAAATCAACTTAATTTTTTCCCCAAATAATCACCTTTAAAGAGAAATTACCAATATAAGCATACAAAGTTAACCAAACTACTTTCTTTGTATGTGTTTTTCTATTTCTTCATAATATTTTAAGTCCTAAAAAACTTCATAAATCCTTAAAAAGATAGTTGTAGTTTCCTATATAGTAATGTTCCTTATATCAGTAATTCCAATTTACACTTTCCTATGATTTGTACTTTTTAAATTTTAAATTCCAATTTACACTTTCCTATGATTTGTACTTTTTAAATTTTGTTGTAGGACACTAGATTGCCTAAATTGTTAATATAATGAATGCTACAATTTGCATATGTACTAAAAATGTTTAATTAATACTACCATTGTTGGCTATGAAAGGAACGTGAAAATCATGAATAGTTGTCAACAATCTCTGGATGATCTTTGGAGATCCTTTAACTCTCTTAGCTTTTTAGCATGTTAAAGATCCTTAAGTTCAACAATCAATAGTCATCATACTTGTCCAGTATCCACTATGTAACAGATACTGCATTTAAATGTACTTTTCCAGGGATCCCTGGGTGGCTCAGCGGTTGAGTATCTATCTGCCTTCCGCTCGGGTAGTGATCCCGCAGTCCTGGGATCAAATCCCGTATCGGGCACCCTGCATGGAGTCTGCTTCTCCCTCTGCCTCTGTCTCTGCCCCTATCTCTTTGTCTCTCATGAATAAATAAATCAAATCTTAAAATAAATAAATAAATAAATGCACTTTCCAATGAAAATACTAACAAAATTCACCAACATTTGGGAAGAGTTTATATAATTCTAGCTTACAGGACTCAAACAGAAGGAAATATAGGGGAAAGGAGTAAGAAAGGAAAGTGAGAAAGACAGCAAGAGGGATAAAAAAAAAAGATAAGGAATGACAACAAATAAAGAGCTGGTCTTTGCCACTGTCAACCCTGATTTCTTTCTCTAACATTGCTAGTGCTCTAGCCATGTGCAGAGGATGTATATGTGCTGTGGACACTAACCATCTCAGTGATTACTAGAAAAAGACTGATGCTGATCCCAAACAACAAATATAACAGTATATCTCAATAGCTACACTTTGAATCTCCCAGTGAAGCCATATCAACCACCCCTGTTACCTAAACTGTGATTCCATCATCCCAAGAAGGAGTAGAAGAGGGAAAAAATCTAGAGTGTAAGTGCCTAGATTAAACTTTCTATCATTAGTCAAGAGGAAAGGAAAGAGGTTGGCTGATGAGAAAATCAATCCAATTTTAAGAAAATATAGAAAAAATATATTTGTTCTACTGAATTACGGCTCTAAAAAGTCATATATACTGTATCAACTATTTTCTATGGGAAAATGGTTATTTTAGTATAGTATAGAAACAGTAACAGGTGGAGGTTACATATATATGACAGTTATGCTATAATTTGGATATTACAGATTAAAAAGCTTTTGAGAGACTGGCTGAGCCTAATTATCACATGTATTACTATTTTCTTAGAGGAAAAAACTGTTTTCAAGTAATTCACTTATAAGTGAACTTCTAACAACATAACTCCTATATTTCTTAACGACCACTTGGACAGGTAATAGTAACAGTCCCAAAGTTGTAGGACTGTCAATAAAAGGAAATAACAAGAATAGATAAGCCTGGTTTAAAAATGCCCTTTCCTGATTACCTCTTGAGAACAGAACTAATTTTATTCAAGAAAAATAAAAGAAAATACATCTGCACCCTGCAAATTTCTTAAAAATTGGGATTTTGTAACTTCAGGTACTATAATATTTTCGTTATAATGTTATAATTCAGTGTTAAAATCAATACAGCTTCTTACGCTGCCAAAGATATCAAAAGAAACTTTTTCCCGGGTCAAAAGTTTTCATTTGTGAATTCATACAGTGTATAATAGTGAAATGCGGCTGTTCCGTAAAGCGTAGTTTACTGGTTCCTTCATGCTACAAAAATATGACTGACATTTCGTCTGGTCAACCATCCTAAAGGTTAATTCTTGTTTCCTGTTTCAGATTTTATTCCAGGTGAACTGCTCCGGGCAGATTCTATTTACCTATTCTGAACAAACCACAAACTGTTTCGTTGCTCACTCTTACTGTTAAGAACATATTGACTTGCTGCCAGCTCTGCTGTTTAATTCATTTATGCTGAGAGCCAGGCATGAAGACAGAATTTTAAATGTGACATTTGCAGGCTGTTAGGTCATTTAAGCTCTGACAACACCAGGGAATTCCTGACATACAGACCGGACCTGATTACCAAACACAGATAGGCTTCCCAAAGCAGCAAATTTCTGGTTGAATGAATGAATGAATGAATGAAATATATATATATATATATATATATATATATATATATATGTGTGTGTGTAATTTCTCATAGGATTTCATATTAGATTTTAATGTCAATGAAAAGATCTAGATAGCCAACATTTTAAATTTAAAAAGCCTGTTTCTTTTAATAAGCTCTCAAATCAGAACTTCTAACCAAATTAGTGAAACGAAAATTCTTTTGGTTGACAAAGACGTAAGGAAAGACTCATAATAATAATTAACAGTCACTAAGATTCTGACATATTTTGATATTTAAGGGCTTTTTATATTTTCTATAATCTACAGATTTTGAAAAAATCTAGTAGTTCTGAAGGCCATGACTCTTTTATCAGCAGACCATTTAAAATTATCAGATTCTGGCCAGGGCAGAGCCAGACTTTATATTCTTCAAAATCACACTATAAAATCTTAGTTGAAATACCTACCACACTGTCTTCCTGTCTTCTCTAATACTACAGTTATGCAGAAGGGATGATAGAATCATTATAATTGGAAATGGAAAAAAAAAAAAAAACCCTGCCCACATGACGTTTAGAATTACACTTTATAAGGGTTGATAATGGAGTAGGATGAAGGAAGTAAGGAAAGATTGTTTTCTTATTTTAGCTACTCAAAAAAATTATACCAAATGACAATTTCTCAGCTCTTTTCCTTGTCACTAACAAGTGCTACAGTGGTTCAAATCAAAGTTTTCTGAAATTAAGTCTTGTTGTTAAGTAATGAACAAAAGATAATTCTGATTTTACCCTGTATTTTATATAAGTAAGAATTCCACTATACACAGCAAGTAGCCTTTTAATATTGTGCTTTGAATGAGACTTCCAGCAGTAATAGGTGGAGTCTAAATATGGATAGATGGCTTAGAATGCCTTTCAGCTATACCACATTGATTTTGAAAAACCTTACAAAGGCAATTACTTCTCAAAGATTAAATATCTTGTTTCTTTCAAAAGAATAAAATGGAAAGCAAACCTGGTGTATTATCTGAGCTACAGGAAGTTGTTCAGCATATTTCAGAGGTTCCATTAGTTCCTCATCCATCCGGTCTTTCTTATAGCTGAAAAAAAAGGAATTAAAAAACACACAACTAAGGTCAATGCTATTTTAAAATATGGCCAAAAAAAATAATAAATAAATAAAATAAAATAAAATAAATAAGGCCAATATTTAAATATGCCAAACATTAAAACTATTAAAAATGTATATTTAATGTTTCTGAAATAATCAGTATTTAGTAAAATCTAGGGAAAACGACCTAGTGATCATTTTAAATGACACAGCTATAAGTACATTCAGAATGCATTTAATTACGACATAACAAGATTGGCTAATATCATCTGATATTCTCAGATTCTGTCTTTCACTCTGAGACTTAAAAATATTTAAGAATTCCCTGTTTACAGGGTGTACTTTTCAACCTAGTATTTAAAGGTCTTCAAAACCTGGCTCCAACCACATTCAACCTCCATCTCTAGCAACTTCTTCTCTGGGTACCAGTCTACTGTTTCAGCCCATCCAACTACTGGCCACCCGCCAGTGTGCCTTGCAGCTCTGTGCCTCTCTGATGCTCCCCATTCTGTTTCCTGTTTGGACCAACCACCAATTCCTTCTTTATTCACTCTTCTTTCAAATATAATTATTTAGACCTGTCTAGATATATTTTTCACCTCCCTCAAGACAAAAACCATGTCTTATTCTTTCTTGTATACGCAATGTTTACTATATAATACTCAATAAATGTTTGCTAAATGAATATATGAATAAAATGAAGACAACAGTAACTGAGAGGCTATTTTATATAAAAAATATTTTAATATCTACATTAACGAGATGCAGAGTTGACATAATACAGACTTAATAGAGTATAAAATAGTAGACAAAAGAATAAAAATAAAATCTCCCCAAATGAGAATTAGAAAAAATGTTTTTTACAAATTATTGACCCTATTTGAAATAAGAAATCATTATATTTCAAAACAGTAAGACCTAAACATATTTAAGCCTCCTTTACCCATTTTTTCTGTAAACTACACAGCAACCTACCAACAAAAATTAAATTTTAAAAATTGAAACTTGATTTGTCTTGAAAAATAATCAAACCAGACTGGTCTGAGTCTTTAGGGCTGCGGTTAAGGAATTTGATGAAAAATGTGGAATCTCTCTCGAGAAAAAGGCAGATAAACAAGGACACAATTTTGCCTATTTAAGAGCTTAAACAGTCTCTTAACTAGGTAAAAGCTTGTGTAGGTCTTGCAGAATTAGTATAAAATTAATTAATTTGGGGGAATTTTGAAGATTCACTCATGATGAAAAAAAAATCGTCTCAAAACATTGCTTTATAGGGACAGAAAGCAGAATTATGGTTGCCAAGGCCAAATGTGGGGAGAACAGATGGTTTTTTAAAGTAGGCTCTACACCCAGTGTGAAGCGCGAAGTGGAGCTCCATCTCACAACCCTGAGATCAAGACCTGAACTGAAACAAAGAGTTGGATGGATGCTTAACCAACTAAGCCACCCAGGCAGGCACCTCTTGAGTGACTTTTTAAAAGTATCAAATAGTTAGTATGAAAATTCCAGACACATCTCTATAGTTTCTTTTGGTTGTTTTATTTTTTTCTGAAACACTTGAAAGTAAGTTGCAGATATCACAAGAGTTCACATCTTAACAGTTTAGCATGTATCAACCAAGGGTAGGTATGAAAACTTTAATAACTGCAGGGCATTTTTAAAAAGTCACTCAAAGTACAATTCACAAGGGATCCCTGGGTGGCGCAGCGGTTTGGCGCCTGCCTTTGGCCCAGGGCGCGATCCTGGAGACCCGGGATCGAATCCCACATCAGGCTCCCGGTGCATGGAGCCTGCTTCTCCCTCTGCCTGTGTCTCTGCCTCTCTCTCTCTCTCTGTGTGACTATCATAAATAAATAAAAATTAAAAAAAAATATTTAAAAAAAAAGTACAATTCACAAGTAATCTTTGTATGACTTATCACTATGGACTTAGAAGTTTTTTACTTCCTCAGTGTTTTCACAATCAATTACAATTATTTCTCATTTTGAATTTCTTAAAAATGTCTGTCAGTCATTCTTACTTTATATATTGCTAGAAGTATCAAAGCTGACTTCCTTTCAATTATTTTCATTTTTAATATATTTTAAATTTTATACTTATTTTTATGTTTTGGCTTGGAGGCTTGGGTGGTCTCTTGATCCTTTTAACTTCTAATACTCAGGTATATATAGGTAAGTTAGTTGTTCTAGATTAATTCTCCCAGGCAAACAGGACTCCTTTCAATATGGAGATGAAGATCTCCTTTTATTTCAGAAAAGTTTTATAATTTTAAACGTTATATCTGTCCATTTTCCATTTGTTTTTCTAGTTTGAGTTCTTGAACTAAGTATATTGGATTTTCTCCATCACTCTTTCTCTGATCCTTTCAGCTCTCTTATTTCAGTTTCATTTTCTTGACTTTTTCATTTCTATTCTTTATGTGTCTTATTGAACTTTTGGTAATATCTATCTTCCCTTGGGTACCTTGAAATTTAGTTTTCATTTCTGAAATGATTTTTGTCTTTTTCTGTCAATTTCCTTCCAGACTTCAATCAGCTCCTGTTTCATACATCTTTTTGTTTGTCCATTTCAATTGTTGAGTTTTGGAACTCTGATTCATAGCATCCTTCATAATGCAATTGCTTGTTTAATACAGGCTATTCATGATCAAGTGTTGTGTTGCAAGTTTCTTTTTTTGTGGCCTTTCTCTTTTTATTTTTCCTTTCATTCTCTCTCTCTCTCTCTCTCTCTCTCTCTCTCTCTCCCCCTGTGTCTGTGTATGTGTGTGTGTGTGAAGAAGGTGTTATTTAAATTTTGTTTTCTTAAAGCAGCAACTTTATGCAGATCCTGGCTTCTTTTTACGTTAAAGATTATTTGTATTGGGTTGCTCCAGAATCAGCAATAGCAAGTTACCCTGTGATGAGGAGAAGAGAGATAATTTGGCTTTATTAAGGATTCTCAGTTCAAGAGCACCCTCCTCTGTGGCAATGGTGAAGTACAGACTAATAAATGGTACTTTTTGTGGTACAGGTGGTGCAAACAGAATTTATCTTTTTAAAAAATTTATCTTATTTCCTTTGGACTCTAATCTTCAGCTGCTTCTTTCTTTCCTTTCACCACCAAGCCTCCAAAGGACACCGCCCCCACACACTTCTTGTAAGGTATCTTCCATTCTTGCAGAATGAGTGCTTTCCCCACTTTCTAAGCCTCATCTCCCAAATCAGGCTGTTGATCAAGTAGTTCATGCCATTAGTCTAATTCAGAAAGTAAGAAAACTACAAATGTTAATTTATATGGCTGCCATCCTAAGGAAACTGGGAAATTTTCTCTTGCAAAAGGGTAAGGTTGTCTTTCTTAAAGCCATCCTAATATTTATTTTATTTAATATTTTGAGTCCCTCCTAAAAGATGTTATTTATAGATAGTATCTATAATATCTATTATCTTTTTCCAAGATCCTTCACTAAAATTTAACTAAATAACAAGGGAATAATTTCTGCATGGAAAAAGCTGTATATTCCTTTTTTTACTTAACTATTTTTTTTAAACTGTGCTTTTGTAGAAAACTATAGTAAATGGAATTTGTTTATATTATAAAAAGGGTTTTGCGTCCATATAGTGATGCTACCTTCTCAAATTGAAATATTATGCAAATCATCTGCATACTAAATAAAATACTGCTGGTAAAATTCCAACACCTACGAAGTCTTTACAACCCTCATCTCTTGTGTTCTTTTATTCTGTCACTGATGCCCTCAAAAATCTTTCTGTGCTATCCAAGCACTCCTGAAATAGCACTGTAAAATTACTTACTATGTCCTAATACGAGACCATCTCTGATTTTAATTCTTTATCACCATATTGAGATTAGATTATTTGTGCATAAAATGACAAAGTTTACTGTGAGCAGAACACCAAGGCACCTTTTCAAACACTAGAAATAAGGCCAAGAACAAAGAAGAAAGCAGAGACAACTGTGCTATGTCAAGTACAAACTAAAAATTAAGAAGATCAAGAGGTGTCTGGATGGCTCAGTAGGTTAAAGCATCTGCCGTCGGCCTCAGGTCATGATCCAAGGTTCTGGGATTGAGCCATCTGGCTTCCTGCTCAGTGGGAAGACTGCTTCTCCCTCTCTTCTTGCTTGTGCATGCTCTCTCTCAAATAAATAAATAATTGTTTTTAAATTAAGAAGATCAATAAATAATTCAAGACACATCACCTTGGGTAATCCAAAAAAAAAAAAAAAAAACTAAGAAGAAATTCTCAAAATGTATCAAAAACAGGAAGCTAGCCAAAGTTTGTGTAGCCTCTTGAACATGATAACTCAAAGTCATTACTTGAAACTGAAGTATATAGAAAAACTAAATCAATTTCTTTTTTTAAAAGATTTTATTTATCTTAGAGGGTGAGAAAGAGAGCGCAAGCACGAGCAGCAGGGATGGAGAGGGAAAAACAGACTCACTGCTGAGCAGGGAGCCCAATGAGGAACTTAATATCAGGGCCCTGGGATCATGACCTGAGCCGAAGGTAGACACTTAACCAACTGAGCCACTCAGACATCCCGCAAATTAATTTCTTAATACAATCTTGTTTTTTAAAAAAAGATGGAAAAATTTCTATTCATAAATTGTATTTTTCAAAATGCCCAAGCATTCATGTAATTGACAACACATATTGTTGTACAAGATACACATGACAAACCTGGGCCTTACGACATTCCTGAGAGTTTAAAGACACTCTAAGGGAGAAAAGCTCAAATGTACTCGACAAACACAAAGTGCTATTACAACTCCAGAAAGGTCCTAAGAGTCACTGCAATTTATTTTTGTGAATACTGGTTATACGAGGTGATAGTCTAATGCATCATTTTCCTTGAAATGAGATCCCCTCCAAACTTGCAGCATCATCATTCTTATAATTATCAAACTAAAAACTTGTGAAAGAAGATATTAAAACAGAACCTTGACTACTACTTACTTTGAAATAGCACAAGGAAGAAGATGAACCAGGC